ATAATGTAATATTAAATCGTAAAAATTACAAATAAAAAAGAATATTAAATAATGACACTTAAAAAGCAATACAAGTCCTAAATTGAATGTTTTCTTAACTTTTTAAAACTTTTTTATTCTTCTTCTTTACATCAATAAAGTACTGAAGTCCCGAATTTTGTGTTAAAATAAAAAAACTAAATTATATTAACTAATTTTAATCAGCTACAATTTTAAGTTATATATTACTCATAGTTAAAACTAATTATAATAATTTTTACTTTAACTCAAACTTTCAAGGGGATTTAATCATTTTAAAATAACAGATAATTTGAAAAATAATTAAATTGAAGTGATAAAATATAATTTATTTATGTTATCAAAATTTAACTCAAATTCATGTTCGTTTTGTTGCTTACAAAAATTTCTAAATTTCATAACTTAAAAGGGATTTTATTTGGTTGACATTATAATTTGTTGTTCTTCCTGGTTTCTAACTTTCCATGCTTAAATTAACAAAAGTAAATTAAAAAAGCATTTGACTAGTGCCAAACGTGACTAATCAAAAAGACACTTTGGTGCTAAGAGCAAATTTGCAAGCAGCTTCTTGGGGTTCGTGAAATAAGAGTCTGTTCTGGTTTCTTTCAACTAAAGCCCAAGCAGTTTTTTTTTTTTTTTTTTTTTTTTTTTCTGGATGTAATGATGCGATGTAATCATAATGTATCCCACTGCAGTTTAGTGGCAAGATTTAATTTTTTGTCTTACGTTGTTTGAAATATGGCATAAACTTCACGCTCAATTTTGTCCCATATAATGGTCAATCCTATCGTGTCCCGCATATCATTTTGTCTCATTTCCGGTTTAATTACAAAATGATTTGGTGAAAGCCACATTTAAAGTGTATCATTTGCTAATTGCTACAGAGAAAAGTTATGTAACTCAGGTGAATTTGAAAGAAATTATTACAATTTTTTATCAGAAAAAAAAAATCATATATTAGACGGATAAATGTACCCAATCCTTATACAAAATTTAAGGAGTTACAAAACCTTCCATATAAATCATAAATCATAGGATTCATACAAACGTAATAGCAATTTTTTTAAATATATATATATATATATAAATATAAGATAAAAATTGTTTGTTACTTATATACATTATTACAACTATTTTATTAGTTAATGTGAAATCTATAACACTGTATAATTTTATTTAGTTGTTAATTAATTATATGATTAATTGTTGTTTGGTTGTAGTTGATGTTGTATTAGAGCTCTATGAGTTAAGTGACCTTGAGATTAAGAGTTAAATTGTCATTGAGATTGTTGAATTAGAGTTAGGTTGTTTCAACATTAAGAAAATGTTATATAAGATTTTTCTTAAAACGTGAATCTCATAAATTCATGTTTTAAGAAAAATTAGAGAGAAGTTAAAGAAAAGTTCTCGACAGTATGAAGAACTCTTCTTCATCTTTTTCTATTAAATTCTTCCTTCAACCTTCCCTAACAATTGATCCAATTGCCTGACTTTGAGATTCAAGCTCTTAAAGTAGGAATCTCAAAGTCTAAGTCGTGCAAAGTTCTTCTTCCTCACTTTTTCTAGGTTGATCAACTAAAGATAAGGAAAAATTGTGTTTGATGATTGTTGAGTTGTATTTGTTTTATTGCTGGTAGAAATCACTTATGAATTAGTTGTTCAATCAAATTAAGATGAGATGGTAATTGTGATTGAGTTTTGGTTTTCTTGTTGATAGCTGAAAGAGACTAGGTGATTCTTGAAATGTAGTAGTTGCATATTGCTATTGGAGTTATTTTTAGTTGTTTTTGATGCATGAGTATTGAATTATATGTTACATGGTCATTTGCTAGATTTCAAGTGGATTGAGCCAAAATGAGATTTTGTCAAGTGCGAAAATTCTCATCACATTGGTCGTGTCTTTGTGGTGTTGGGCATGACTTGAGTTAGGATCTCTCTACCCTAATCACGCCAGGTGTGTAATTTGTAGCGTTGGGCATGGGTTAGTGAGGAGCTCTCTAACTTGGTCATACCGAGCATGGAAATGATATGCGTCAAGCATGAGAACTTGAGAAGTTTTCTAACTTGATGACATTGGTCCCTAGAGGAGTGGTGCCAAGTGTGACCTATTTAATAGCTCTCTGCTTGAATGATGCTAGGCGCAAGTGGAGTGGCCTTGGACGTGGGTCAAGTAGAGACTCTTTGTTTAAGTGAGGTTAAGCATAGATTTTGCCACGTTAGGCGTGAGAGACTAAGAAGCTCTATGCCTCATCCACGTGTGTGTGCATAGGTGAATTGGCATCAAGCGTGGGTGAGACAGAAACTCTTTGTCTCAATAGCACCGGGAACACAAGGAATAACATCAAGCATTGGTTGTTTGATGAAATGTGATTTTTTTAAGTTATAGTTGAAGAAATATGATTCAATTATATGATGAATGTTAAATGATGATAACTCATTATGCATTGATATGAGACAATGTATATTGATGTTTTATGTTGCTAAGGTTGTAAGTTAATAGTTGATTGAATGTTGAATAAGTGGTAAGGTTGTATGATGTTTTATAGTTGACTAAGTTGATAAATCTATTAGACATGCAGTGGAAATACATGTCTTAGTTGAGATACATAAAGACTAAAGAAGAGTGAAGTAGTTTCTTAAAAAATAAAATATCTCATTGTGTGAAGATAAGTTGTGGTTATTAGAGAACCTAAGTTAAGAATTCTTCAGTAAATAAGTTGGTTTCTAAATGGGTAATTATTTTAAGTTATTTCCTCTAGGTTTTATGTGAAATTTGTATAGGGATCAAATTAAGCCATACATGTATAAAGTGACCAACTGATTAAGTATGAAGTCAATGGTTAAAATCCTTAACTGGATATTGTTGAAAAGGTACATAATATTAATTTGGAGGGTAGTCGATAGACTAATCCTATACAAGGTTTAGATATGTATGTTAAGGTCGTGGTAGGTTCACACCTAAGTTGTTCCACCCTGAAAGTAGTATTAGACTTTTCTAATTTAAATGGTGAAACTTGTGAAATTAATTTAAGTTGTATACCTAGCACTTTGAAAGACCTAATGTTGTATATACTTGACCTGATATTGATAGGTTAGACATTGTGGTTTGGTAGGTCTAGTCACTTAAACTACTCGTCTTAGGTTGTAGGAGATCTTCATAGTTGATATGTGTGACGATGCATTAATTGTTTACCGTTATTTATGTTATGATGGAAAGTTGTAAATTGATGTGAATGGTGATAAGTTGATAACATGGATTTTGAGTTACTTATGTTGAAATATTTGTCACTTCATGTTGATAATGTATATTGATTCTTTCACAAGCTTATCCTTCCTTTCCTTGGTGGTTAGAATTATGTTGATCATACTTGTTATAAAAGTAAGATGGTTTGAATGATGGTGGATGGTTAATTTGGTGGTGGCCCATTATACATGTTACTTTGAAGCAATAGTTGTTGTATAGAGATGTTGACCAACGATAAAGTTGTTTTATTTATAGTTTAGAGTAGTTGTGCAGATTGTATATATGTACAAGATATATGTATGTAACCCGTAAAGAGATTTATGTCTCCAATTGATTTTGTTTTCTACCCCAATACACATAGAATTGCATAAATGATCAAAAAATTGTTGCATAATAACTCTAGGTAATTGAATATAATTATCATTTTCTGATGTATACTGTACATTAAATATAGTGATTTGTAATGTCATTACAAAATTTTCAACATACACTTTTTAAACGAGAATTGAACATTTCAAATGTAAACTTTGTAAAACTAGAGATTCCCATATAATTCAATATAATGACTCTATATAACAGGTGATCTCATAAATCTACCACCAAACACCAATCAATAATGACCATTGATAGAATTTTCAACGATTGTTGATGCCTATTTCTGTCAATAGCCTTTTCAAAAATGGTAGCACACCTAATTGTTGTCAAGGTCATAGATTCTCATGATTTTCCATAATCATTCAATGCACATTATCGACAAATGACTGATTTCCAGTCATTTGGTTATTTATGACTCTTCACAAATTAAAGCACCAACCAATTAGTTTTTCTTTAAGGTAGTTATTGCACTTCCCATTAATTGGTAAAAATAATATATATGTCCTTTCAACATTTTATTTTGAGTTGAGAAAATAGGTTTTGCACAAATAATATTTTTTAAAATATATGTTTTTAATCATGTAAAATAAGCAAAAGTTGTCAATTTTTTTTAAATTTTTCATCTTTCTAAAATTTATAAATATTATTTTTAATCCTTATAAAATACTATTGATTCTTGTAAAATAAGTAAATTTTAGTTTTAGTGCTTGAATAATTTTATTTTTATTTTTATCCCTCTAAAATTTAAAATCATTAATTTTAGTTCTTAACAATGATTTTAAGATATATAAATAACATTTATTTTAAAAATTTATAAAACTTTTTAAAGATATCACACATTAATATAGTATTATTAATGATTATGAGTACCAAATAAGTAATTAATAATGATTGCATAATAACAAGGACCAGAACACAATAATTTTAAATTTTAGAAAAATAAAAAATATTAAAAAAATTACAGAGACTAAAATAAAAAAATTTATTTTATAAAGACTAAAAACATATTTAAATATATTTTTTTATCTTTCAAAATTATAATAACGATATCTAAATTTAAACATAAAATCCTGTACATACTACTTTAATTATTTTATTGTTTAGTCAATTCTAATAATTTATATATATAAATAATTTACAATAATATTACATAATTACAATAAATTTATCAACTTTTATAATAAATATACTTTACGTATCCTAGAAAGAGTAATGGGTAATTTTTTTTATTGATTAACAAATTAAAACATTTTACATCCAATATTATCACCGTTAAACCCTTTTGAGTTTTCTTATGCAACTCTAAGCTTCTGACCTAACTTTCTATAAAATTAAGTAAACAAAAATTTAGGTGGCAATATGTTATACATATCTCTCTTCAATATCCGAGAGCACTATGTCTAACCCCAAATCTTATGCAGACTTTCCCATTTTAGACCTTTCTCAGCCATTGCAGGCATCTTCTCTATCCTCTCTCCATAAGCCAAGCAAAGATTGGGGGTTCTTCCACATAATCAACCATGGAATCTCCAAAGATCTTTGCAGCCAGATCAAGTCACTATCCAAACACCTCTTCAGTCTCCCTTATGATACTAAACTTAGACTTGGTCCTTTCTCATCTTTGAAATCTTACACCCCTCATTTCATTGCCTCTCCATTCTTTGAGAGCCTTCGAGTTAATGGACCCAACTTTTATGTTTCTGCTAATAGTTCTACTGAAATCCTCTTTGAAAAAAAGGACTCCAAATTCAGGTAATTCATTAACGTGTGTTTGTGTGCATTGTTTTCCTTTTCTTTTTATTTTAATAAGTAGGTATAATTTCTTCTCACCTAATGGATCTCTATAAAAATAAAAAATAAAAAAATTGACACTTCTAATGATAATTAATTCCATATTCAAGTCAAAGATTGAATTTTAATTTTAATTTAAGTAAGAAATACAAATATCAAACTATATTTGTATCAATTTTTATTTTTCCAGTGAGCTTTCAGTTTTAATCATGATTTTAAATTGTGATTCACAACCAAAATTGAGGTTACAATGTAAAGGATTTTACACTCATCGTTACCACAATTGTTGCCCTCTCATTTTCCTACAATTTCTCGTAATGTTAATGATTACGACTCCAACCAATTTAAAATCATGCTTTTAACTATTTTGACAGTCTCCCGCTTGTTTAATTTTATTCAATGGATTGTGACTTAATTTCTACTTTTGTGTTTTGAAAACAGTTTGATAATCCAAGAATATTGCAGTAAGATGGAAGAATTGTCTAAGAGAATTCTAAAGATTGTGTTGATGGGGTTAGGGGATGGCATTGAGAAGAAGTTTTATGATTCTGAGTTCAACAAGTGCCAAGGTTACTTGAGGATAAACAATTACTCAGCCCCAGAAATTACGGAACATGATCAAGTTGAGGGACTTGGCATGCACACTGATATGAGTTGTATTACTATCTTACATCAAGATGAAATTGGAGGGCTTCAAGTGAGGTCAAATGAGGGAGAGTGGATAGATATATGTCCTTCTGAGGGAACCCTAGTGGTGAACATAGGGGATATGTTGCAAGCTTGGAGCAATGACAAACTAAGATCCTCAGAACATAGAGTGGTTTTGAAGCATCATCATGTGAACCGGTTTTCTCTAGCATTCTTTTGGTGCTTTGAGGATGACAAGGTGGTTTTGGCACCAGATGAAGTTGTTGGAGAAGGAAACAAGAGGAAGTACAAGCCATTTGTGTGTTTGGACTATTTGAAATTTAGAGAGAACAATGAAAGAGGGAGATTTGATAAGGTGGGTTTCACAGTCACTGATTTTGCTGGGATCATGGCTCAGCTGTAAATGCTGGCAAAAGTAGTTAATATCTATTCTTCACACAAAAGAAAAGAATGTCATATATAGTAAGGTTAGGCGTTAAAATGTATCTTCCTTATAGTATGATGATGTTTGTTTAATATATGGAAACTAAATTGTTGTATAAACATTATTTATTAATATTGTTGGTATATATAATGCACCACACTAGTAAAAAATATATTTATTGTTGTATAAATATAGAGATTATCTCTATCTCTATATTTGATAAACCTTATATTATTTATTATTAAAAAATAAAAATAAAAATAAAAACTAATTTTTTAGTAACTACAATTTTCTTTAATAACTAATTATTCTGATATTTGTATTTAATTTAATTTTTTAAATAAATATTAAGAGAGACAAAAGTATCTTTAAATTTTTAAATAATAAAAAATATTATAAGTTATTCACATTTAACCACTCAAATAAGTTAATCAATTTTAGTCACTTCAATATTAAGCATGAAAATTTAGAGTACAAACATTTTTTTATAATTCAATTAATAGTTACAAATTGTCGTTTTTTTTATCTTATTTTCAAAGACTTGTATGAAATTATTATTTTTAATATTTCAATACAAAAATCAAACTTTTATAATTATTCATAAGAATAACAAATAAAAATCATAAACAAAACAAAGATTTAACATTGTTTACCTTTTCCTATTCCTACTTTTGATTTGATGAACATATGATATAAGCTGCAACTTGGGTACTGTATGGTTGAATGGGAAGATAGTTAATCCCCACCATGCTATAGAAAACTGGTACCAAATAGCAATAACGACTGCTTAATATGCCACGATTATTTTATATGTGCTTCCACTTTCCAGCAAAAAAACTGTGTGCCTTTCCTTATTTCTTTATTGGATCATGCAAACCTGTGTGCTCTAAGTTTTGTTTGAGTTCCAAACAAAGAATAAACCCTTCGTTCATATAGAAAAATAAATGATAACGGTTATAGGCATATTGCATATACACAGGATTTGGGATTCTCATACATATCACTGGTATAAAACTTCATATTTGGTTTTAATACGAATAATTACAATGAATTCATAATAGTCTCCTACCTTTTTAAACACAGAAAAATGAAGTATTTTCGATCATTCCTCCATTTTGCTCTCTTTTTCTACCTTTTTACCCAAAAATAAAGCATTAAAATAGAAATGATATAAAAAGAAAATAAGATAATCAACTAACCACATATTACTTTGTTTATAAATGCAACTTTTGTACATGACATTTGACCCTTAAATCAGTATCCCTAGTATCTGTCTGTTAAATTTAATTTGCTCAAATTTGACAAGATTATGAACAAAGATCAAGGTCGTGTATTTCTCCCATCCACATGTCATAAGGGACACGATTTCACCGTTTTAAAGTACATGTGAATTTTCAGAGTTGAAAATCAGCATGTGTAACAATTTCATATATTTATATGATTTGTCCCCAACTCATATTTTTCTGGAAAATTTTCGTCATTTCTAAATTGTTCTAAATCAAACATGTTTAACTTTAAAGTTTTTAATTAAGTAATAAATTATAATATAAAAAAAAATGTATCTTGTTGGTAATTGTTAGAATACAAGTAAAGTTCTACATTGTTTAAATTAATAAAAGGATCAACATAAGTTTATATACATATAGTTGTCTTTATTGATTAGAGAGCTTTTAAGTGAAGTCCAAAAGTAAATCTGTAGGAATTTATTAAACTTAAAGTAGATAATATCTTACTAGTGTGGAGATATAGTGTATGAAAACCTCCGATATTTAACAAGTGATATCAGAGTCATTGGTTCATACAGGTGTTCGACACCTTATTTTTCACAAAGTTTGAATTACTTTCCAAGTCAAACAATGCTATCAAGACAACATTTGCTTATTATATTATAATGGTAGTAGAATTAACAACGAGCAAGGTTGTATTTTTATAGGTGACACGAAAACAATTCGCGTAAATCGTGGATTGAATTTTGAATCTTTGAAGAAAAAAATTCATGTGAAGTTGAAATTGCATCATAACCAAATTGTTTCTAGCATTACTTGCACATATTTGCATTGTGTGAATCCCATTTTTTATCTAGCTGTAGAAATTGCTGACGATGAAGATGTTGCATGCATGTTTGATAATTTTCAACGGCAAAGTCATATGAGTATGATAGAATTATATATTGTTGTTGATATTGTTGACACATCTTCTTTTTCCTTACAAGAAATAACTACAGCAGAAGAAGCACATCAACCTCCAGTTTTGACACAGTCAAATGTAATGAGTAGTGACCATCAGTTTGAGCAAACAATTTCGCCACCAACAAATCATCCTTATTCAAACCTTGATTTTGCAACAAACTTAAGTGACGATGATGATATCAATGTTGAAGAAGATGATGAAATTGCAGATGATAGCTCATCTGACGAAGGTAACATTGAGCCTCCCATAATGAACGAATCAGGTAATTATAAATGTTTTTTATAGTTTGATTTTAATTTAGTAATATTTATTATTCATATTGTGCCTGTTGTAACCATATAGGTCCATCACAACCTCCATTTTGAAGCAATACTCCACATTATAATTACATTGATTGGTCTCATCCAGATCAAGAAATGTGGTATGGTGGATTAGATGTTCCCAATTCTTGGCGCGTTGGAGATAAGTTGTATGTTGGGCTATGTTTTTATACAAAAGCTGATGTCCAAATGGCTGTTAAACACTACTCTATGAATGCTCATCAGACATTTGTAGTTGTTGAGTCTGGATTGAAAGTTTTGTCTGTACGATGCCCTAATAGTAATGAAGGTTGCCCTTGGAAACTAAGGGCTAGTATGTCCACTAAGTGCAATAACAAGTGGGTCATAAAGAAATGGGGTGGTCGACATACATATATTAATGCAATATTGTCTCAAGATCACAACAAATTGGACTTAGAATTCATTTGTTCTTGCATATTAGGTAACTTTTTATCTATACATACTTTTCAAAAATTTTAAAATAAAGGTATTCTTCATAATAATGTTAGTATTATTGTTAACATTTCATTTCAGGAATGGTTAGGGAAGATGCTTCCGTGTCAATATCCTTAATTCAAGAAAGAATAAGTGGACAATTTAATTATAAGGTTTCCTACATATATCTTCCACAACAATTGGTTCGAGCTCATCTTGTAATGGTAGTGGAGCACCTGTAGAGGGATACTAAAGTCGGTGGAATTCACCGTATACCTCTAAACAGTTAGCAAGATTATCAGTCAATTCTTGCATTGAAAAATTGCTTTTAGGTTCTGTTTTAGCCTTATGATACATTTCCTCAATAGTGTCATCCTGTAAATCAAAATTGTTGCGGGTTGATTGTTATTTGTACATGTTCAACTTAATATAAAACACAAATATAAACAACCGAATATATGTTACTTACCACATAACCTTGTTTTGCAGTAGTAGGCCCAATCCAACGTCTGGTGTGTCTTTTATACCACACCATGTACTCTGAATTACTACTTAAACGTGTAGTAGTACAAGCTTCTTGTGTCCAAACACGATTTAACCTTGTTTCCCACTCTTGTAGAAAGACAGCATGCTGAACTCGCCAATCAATGTCATCTTTGCCGCGTAGAGTTAGATCATGCAAATTATCTGGTTGACGTGGAGGACGAGGAATGTGTTGTACCATGCCAAACTAGCGCATCACACGGTCAGCATGGTGATACTCAATAATATGAAAGTCAATTAATGGCACTACTGCCCTCCAAATATTTTTGTTCTCTACACAATATGGTGGTAGAGAATAAAAAATGAAGGTATGGCTGTCAAACAAACTGCAAACAAAAAACACAAAAAGTCATAAATGAATACTAATTTGAAGATATCCACTTTTAATTTGTAATGAATAACAACTTTCAACGTACATCTTTATCTTTCAGCTTATCTAACATATCGCGAATCTGAACAATAGTTCTTTGTGTCACCTGCAAGACACTATTCCACCTAAAAATATGAAAAATTAACAAGTTAATTAAAATTATTTGTCTAATGTTAAATCTAATATTTAATAACGCAATTTAAATTAAAATATTACCTTGCACCTAAAGGAATACCAAAAATATTTCGTGGTGCCGTGAAGGGTGCAAAATACGACATCCGATACCATGCCCACAATTGCAGTAAAATGCATGCCCCACTAATTTCTTTATTGTCATAATTAGTGGCAACACACAGTTCTCTATATAAATGAGCAAGCAAGGCTGATCCCCAACTAAGTTGCCCACATTGGTCTAAATCTATTAACATCACCAAATATCGCATCAGTACTAGAGTTGAAGACTTGTCAAAGAAAAGCATACCTCCAAGCAACCGCAAAATATAAGCTCGGGTATATCGTTTCATTTGTTCAATACTGTGCACATGCATCAAAACATCAAAAAAATGTTCATCAACCCAGCTCATCTTTAGCCTTCCACCTTTAATTGCATTTGCTGGTGGTGTTATTCCAAACAAATATTCAACAAGTGGGACCCATCTATATGTCGAACAACCAGTAATTGGGTCTCCATGTACCTTTAGACCTAGCAAAACTGAAACATCTTCCAATGTAATTGGTACACTCTCCAAATGTGATGTGAAAAGTATGTATTTCTGGTCTCCATCTCTCAACTAATGCTGAAATTAACTAGTGGTCAATAAGAAAGTATGAGATTTCTGCCACTCCCAGCATCCCTGCTCGTGCAAGATACGGTCTTAATTCGTCGAGAATTGACCCATCTCGATGACCACTTTTGGTAGCTCTTCTAATACGAAGAACTCTATCAGCCTCACCATTACGTGAATTAATTGCATAGTCAGTAAAGAATCATCAATAGGTCCCGGATTAACTCTTTTATGAGACATTCTGAAATTATACAAAATCAAGAAATACGTATATAAAATTTAAATAATAAATACCATAAACTCCTAAATAACGAATAATCAATTAAATCCTAAACAAAATAATCTTATACTACTACATCAATATTATATAATTAAAATCACACAAACAAAAATTATTACACTTAATTTCATATAATTTAAATTTTATAACACAAAAAAATGGTAAAACACCTAATTTGGTCCCTTATAATAATTAATAGTTTCAATCTCTGGTTGGCGTTCCAGAACGGGCCGT